ATCTCCCGATTGTCTACTGGATGATTGACAGTTCGGGGCTAAGGCGGTTACCTTGTGGATTCAGGGTTTGTCGGGCTGCTGCTTTGCTGGAGGGGGGGCTGTGAGCTTTGCTGGGTATGGGCGGCTCTGAAGCTGGACCTGTGGTTTAACTCAATCTTTGAACCAGAACCTGCGCGAAACGTTGCTGTGCTTTCGCCCAGGCCCGCGGCTGCCAACGCCACGGCGACTGAGGCGCCCAAGGAGGCGGTTTCGAAAGAGGCGGAGGCCGCGAAGGAGCCGGAGGCGCCTCCGGCCACGGCGACGGCCGAAGGCGAAGGCCAGAGACGCGCCAGCCGTGACGCCGAACATACACATCATGGAGCCATATAGCAACGCTTGTGTATACAAATAAATACACGCATGTTCCCATATATGCACCTACAGTTTCGGATACTTGTGCATATGCATATTATGTATATATATATATACATATATATATACATACATACATACATACATACATACATACGTACATGTATTTGTTGGTGGCGCGTGCCGTCTTCGATTGTCAGGGCTATTCCGAATATCAGGAAAGAAAGTTCGGAAGTTCCCGGCTGCCCCCTGCAAGGCCACTGGGCAAACACTGTGGACGGAATTGTTCGAACCACGAAGGAGGCTTGGATCAGCGGCAGCGGCAAAATCGTCCCTTGCCTTGAGCCTGGATCGCTGCTTGTTAAGTTTTCTTATGTCGGGCAGTCGAGCAGGTGTTGGTGTCACAGACAGGATGAGAAGGATGAGTGCTAGGGGCTGGGGTGTTCGGTTCGGGTTCCCCTTCTTTTCGGAGCAAAGGACAAGACCATGACGTGCGAGACTGCGCAGCGTGGCGATGAGTGCTGGACTGCTGTGACCTGGGCACCCTGCCCGCTGTCGAGGGGTTTGGGATTCGGAGCCTTCCGACTAGAAGTTGCCAGGACCCCTGCTTGATGTCTTCGGTTCTTGGGCGCTTTCTGTTCCTGGTACTGGTACTCTGATAAGTGGAAGACCTGGGCCAAAGATCTCAAGAGGAGATATTAGTTCTGTATAATCATGCTCGGACTCTACAGCCCTCGTATGAGAGTCGAAACGCTTCGAAGGTGGAGTCGCCGTGCTGGCTGTTGGGTGCCTCTCTAATCTAGATCCTCCGATCTCCTCTTAAAGTCTAGGTGTTTCGGGATGAAGTCTGCTCGAGTTTTCTGCTTTGGGGTTTTGCACAGGGAGTGCCAAGTCTTGTCTGGCCAGATCCACGCCAAACCCTGTGGCCTCCCTCGCTTGTAGGGTTGAAGGAAACGGTCTCCCCCGAAGCCCTGAAGGTGAAGGTATTCCGTAGGTCTGATCACAAGTCATTGTGCCCAAAAGCGTGGCACCTGAGTGATTCCTGGACGTCCTTGTCTCTTAAGTGCTTTCGGATTGCACTCGGCGATGCCGTAGGTCGTTTTGCCCTTGTGGCTTCAGCCGTGTATCCGAGGCCATGAACGACGGGATCTATGCACCTTGGCCGAGTTTCCGTCATGGCGGAAGTAGCCCCTGGCCCTGGCCCAGAGTTTCGCATCCAAAGTCAGCTCCTAGGGCCCCAAAAGAAGAGCGGTGAATCATGGGACGCCTCGCATCTCTTGGGGATGTTGGCCAGAGCGGTGCTCACAGACCTGGTAATCCTAGTACCCTGCTTTGAGGGTATCTCCTGGATTAACAGCCCCCCAAACCCAAAGTCCAAAGCCCTAAGCGCTGCTTGAAAGAGAGAGCCCCCCCCCCCCTCAAAAAAAGGAGCATCCCGAGTGGTGGCCTGAGCTTCAACCGGGAGCTTCCAGCTTCGAGGAGTTCCAGGGCCACCAGCGCCTCGGCTTTTCGAGGCCCCCGGAGGCCCCCGTAGCCGAGGCCTTCCTTGGTGCTCGGCTTTTGGCTCTTGCCTGCCTTTTTGCAGCTTTAGAGACTATCCACGGCACCGCGGACCCGATAGTCCCGATCTGGACCCAAAGCAATCCTGTGCGGCGAGCCCCCCTCTCTTCCTACGCTGTAGCTTTGCTTACGTCTCGTGTGCTGCTACACTTCAGCTTCTGCTGCCCTCCAAGGCATCTCATGAATGCGACGCTGTGTCCACAGCCATGCATGCTCAGGCTCGCATTGGTCTGTTTCGGAGTCTCGCCCTCCCTCTCTCTCTCTCTCTCTCTCTCTCTCTCTCTCTCTTTCGTTTGTCCTCGCCTTCCCTTTAGGAGGAAACCTATCGAATTCAACATAAGGTGTAGCTGCTCCGACTCTCTTGGTTGTTGATCGTGTCGCATCAACGGATGCAGGGCCGTTTCCTGTGCAGCTTGTCAACAGTAGCTCTTTGTCAGAGCAGCTTCTGACCGGTGAACCTCAGGAACTGCAGCAGCACCATGCTGAACTGCATTCTAGGTGCTGGCGCTTCTGCTTGCACGCTTCTTTGGGACGTGCTCCGTTGAAAGTAACAATTAAGATGCAAAGCCGCCAAGACTTTCAAGCATCTCCAGGCAAGACATGGTCAGATCCCTTGCCACCGAAGTCCCTTCTCGGTGTGGAATAACTGAGAGACATGATCCGCCCTTGTAAGAAGCTGCCTCGACCGACCTGCAAATCATAAACTCTAGAAAAGCCCATGGGGCCCTCAGCCCTACATAAGCCCAAAATCAAAATGACGACCCATTCCCTCTCAGAGCCCCTCCAGGGGGCTCTTCCGAAAGAGTTTTCCGGTAGGTACGATGTCTACTCGGAGCCGACCTACCGATCCTCCCGCGAGTACGCCATGAAGGGCGTCTCCTACGGCGCGCCGACTCCTGAGCACAGCGAAGCCGAAGCAGCTCTTCTCTGCCGATGGAGCAGTTCCCCTTGTAGTTACTTGAAGTTATTATATGAGTGTGCATATATATATATACAGATAATAATGTGCATGCGATTGTATTCGGTACTCCTCAAGCCTCGTTCTAATTCTTCGGTGCTCAGCCGCTCAGGTCGCCTCTGAAGTCCACTAAAGTTTTGCTCACGGACGACGACTTCATGACGGCCAGCCTCTCAGAGTATCGGTGTCGGAGTCTCCCGCGACTCTTTGCCGGGTCAACTTTCAACACTGTAGCGTCGGGTTGATTTGGGGCGTTGGGTCTTGGGTATCGAAGATGCCTGAAGATTGCATGTCTCGTTGAGCCCTCGAGCCGCGAGCCCCAGGTCTATTGTCAGAAGCTTTCAGGCCATGGAAGGTTGGAACATATTGGAACGTAGTGAACTCAGGACATCACTGGAGCGATGTGGGACAGCTGGGGGCGTGGAGATTTGGACGTCCTGGCGTCCATGGGCGTGAACACGCTTCCTGGCAGGTCGCAAGGATGTGCTCGAATTCGATAGGGCTTCGGAAACGCTTCTGTGCCGCCAGAATCACATAGTCTAAGTGGTCTCCGCTTTTGAACAGCTCCGAAGCCTTTATCAATCCTCATAGTGCTGCTGAAGGCTGCTGCTAGTAGAAAAAGCTCTGCTGTCATCTTGAGGCTCCGGATGTACGGCAACGACTTGCTCCTTGGCCAAGTCGCCCAGTGCCCAGTGCTCGCATCCGCATGCCCCCCCAACAAAAAATCGTCCAAAGGCAAGTCCCCAAAAACAGCTAGGACCTAGGACAGCTCGGAGCCCCGACTGCATTCAAAACTTCCCGCTACTCGTCGCTTCGCGCTTCGCGCCTCAGCCCTAGCTGCACTGGCATCGTGTGGAGTCCCCACTCTTTCAGCCGCATTCCAGCACGCACAAACGCCTCTTCGAGCTCTTCCGAAGGCTGCGCGATGTGTGTTGTCTCGTCAACTCCTGAAACCCCAGACCACAGCTCCACATAAAAAGTGCTGCGCGTTCGGAAACGGATCCCTACAAGACGCCGCTATAATCATTGTACCTCTCATGTCTTCTAGCAAATCCTCATCTCCACCACTTTTTGCAAAAAGCGCTCTTCGTTGCATCTGTCTTGTTAGGGGTGGGGACACAACACCGATAGGATCCTTCAAAGCTGAGGAACTACAGTCACCGGTCCTTCCTGGATGGGGCCTGGAAGAGGGACATCGACGTCATCGTCGGGCTGAGTGATTGGGGCCTCCCGGAATGAAAGGTGAACGAAAGAAGGTCAACGACTACTCACTAGTACTCAAGGTGGCAGTTCTGCATGTCTTATATGTACATTCTGGAACGCAGAGCATGAATTCAATCACAACACCCCTGCCTGGAGCTTCGGCTGCGAGGCTTCATTCAGGGCCCCGATCCCTGCGACAAGCCGCGGCCCCAGCCCTACAGCCCCCTGGGCCAGACTGGCAGAGGGGGCCGACACAGCTCCACCCAGGGACTTGGGTAATTCTTGCCAGGAAAGCAGCTCTGATCTACGTGGGTAAGACAGCAGGACGGCCTCCGGCAAAACTGTACCAACAAGCACAAGCAGGTTTCGGTGTCTTTTCCGGAACCTTTCCTGGCGCTCTTACGCCCAGAAAGGCTTGTGGAGCCAGTGCAGGCTCTTTCTGGCAGCTTGACACAGCCTTTAAGGCCCCCATTAGGGCAGCTCAGCCACATTGCCTGAAAAGCAGTTCTACGTGACAACAGGGATTGGGGACCGCATGTTCAGCCTTGACGCCGGCATCATCACACTCTCCATATCTATACAACGTATCTAACTTATCACAGTGTTTTATGTTTTCATTCTCCTCCATATATTGGTGTCCTCATTGTCATTACGTCACACTATCCGGCGTCGACGGCAAGCTCACCCGCTTTGCTCGCTACACTTTTGGTTCGAAAGTCGTCCTTGCTTTTTCTGGGCCACTCTTGTTTTGCGGGCCCAATGCAAGCAGTGTCAATTGTGAGAGACCTTGTGTCTTCAGCCCTTCAGCAAAGATGTCAGCCAACTCATGTTTCCAGGCAAGACCCGGCATCCGCACGCAGTCCCAGTCTCACAGACGAATCAACTCTGATCCCGGGGCGTTGCCACGCGCCTTGTATTCGTAGAAGCCATGATTCGCTACACGAAGGCTGCGTTCCAGACGCTCCTGTATTGGTGGGGTGGCATCAACAGGCATTTGATCTTGAATTCCGTGCTCTACCTGCTTTTCTTAGTCGCCCTCTTCTGGGCCCAGTCCAAGTGGCCGATCTTCCGGGTCGAGTCTTCCACTAGTGGCCTGTCGATGCTGGGAAGCTTGACGGTGTTCCTGCTGGTCTTCCGCATGAACCAGTCCATGGCCCGGAACAACGAGGCCACCGAGAGGACGGACGAGATGTTCGGCGAGCTGGATTTCTTGATCCATTCAGTCTGCAGCTTCATGCAGGGTGCCAAGGAAGACCTCTTGTACCTCTGGCTGCAGCTAAGCTTGGCCCACGTAAGAATTTGAGACCATCAGAACCGCCTCGACTTACGCCATGAGCCCACCCAGAATCGGGCACCCTTGGGTTTTTACAGACATCACAGCAAATGAATCCTGGACTGCTCTGCCGAATCGAGGCATGATCTGGTCCTGAACCCCCATCGGGTGCATTCGGAGGAGGAGATCCGGATCATGAAGCGCCTCGAATGCTCTCGTTTCGGGTTTGGGGTTGCAGGCAGGATCTAGGATTTCAAGACATCTGCGGTGGCCCTATCCTCTATGCCATCTATACATCTTGCATCCAGACCCTCAAGCTCGCCAGCATCGCATCTACTCAGGTTGCATGGAGAGCTGGCAAGTATGGTGCGAATCCACGTCGTGCGGCTAACCATTGCCTTCGGCGTCAGTTGCCTGCTCTACTTTCGCATCCTTACGGCCCTTGCAGCTTCGACGAACAATTTAAACACAACACAACCCATCACACTACATACTGGCAACTTAGTGAAACATCTCCGTGCATCTTCAAGAGAACACATCTGTGGTTCTATCTCTCTCACTGACACATCGATATACCCACGTTCACAAACCCTGTCTGCAAGCGCACATATAGACATATACATGTATGTATGTGTATATATATATATGTATACACATACATACATACATACATACATATTTATATTATCTTTATGTCTAAATCTGTGATTATGTATGAAATTGATGCACTGGCAGGTGCCTGCCACAGCAAGCTAGGGAGCTCGAATCACATTCTCCACGGCCGGAATGCTTCTAGCCGCAGTGCCCAAGTCCAGGACAGCCGAGTCAGTTACACGCACATGCAGGTCCTAGCTTGTCGGCCCCTTGAACTCCTGTTGAACCCAGTAGGGCTCATTCCGGGGTTCAAAGCTTCTCTTGCCTCGGGTTCGCGGTTGGCGTCCTGGTTTCAGAATGGAAAGGTGCCCTCTGGTAGCGAAATCCATACTGGGAAATCACAGCTTATGCGGATGTCTTCGTCGACCGGACAGCTTTTGAGTTTGAGTTTGCGGTTCAACTTGAGAATTCAGGGATTCTGGGTTTCACGGCGGTCCTTCATACCCCGGACAACACCAGCCCAAGTTTGCACTTTGATGAGTTGTGTTGGGACTTGGATGTTGAATGGCCCGATTCCGTTGTACACGCTAAGGCCCCGCCATTTTGTCCAAAATGTACCAGAGCCAGTAAACCTCGTACCCCCACTCACTCCACCCAAAAACCCTAACATGACAAGCCTAGACCACGCATTCGATTCATCTTGATATCCCTCCATGCCCCCAGGTAAGTCAACTAATTCACGAGAGCTAGCTCTGTGAAGCTTGCGGGAGTTGTCGTTTACCAATTCACCTCAGCAGCAGTGACCCAGTTCAAATTCGTGTTTAGGTGCTTGTTTGGTGGTTTGACAACCCTGAAACTCCGGTGGAGGGAGAGGGGGTCCCCCCCCAAGCTCATGCTGCTGCATAAGCAGCATGGCAATTGCATGAATAGCGGCATGGCTGGTGTTCTGTTTGTTGATTGACGTTGCTCGGGAATTGCCAGTGCGATTGTGCAGTTTCTTCATTGAGATTGCTTGACTTCTGCTCGTCATGTCTGCTTAAGCAGGTGTAGTGCGTCGACCCGGCAGGATTCTATCAAGCACTGTGGCAAGTGCATCTCTTATCTGCACGTGCTTAGGATTTTAAGCACCACCGGACTTGCATCTGTTTTTTCGTGTCTGCGTGTGGACTTGGCAGGTTTAGACAAGAGCATCAGCACTATGGAACCCGGAACCCTGCCGAGCAAGAGCGCAACAATGCAAGAGCTCCATCAAATCTGTCGAGTTTGTTCGCCCTAGCTTTCGTGGTCCTCTTCTCAAGTTACGCCAAACCCCGGCTCTGACGAAAGAAGCCTATACTCAGTCAAGGCAGATGCCCAGGGCGTCCTTGAAGAGGAGGATCTCGTGCAGATCGTTTTTCTGCACAGCCGTTTGCAGGCTCTTCTTTACGAAGAGGACTTCCGGCGCTTTCGAGTTTGAGGGTTTAGGGTTTCATAGGTGGGTTTTTTTTTTCGGGTTTAACGGTTTAGAGGTTTACAGTTTAGGGGTATACAGGAACTGATTTTTTCCCCCATGCCAACCCAAAAGGAGATGGAGCTGGTGGACCAGCATCTGGCTCTGTTGAAGGAGGTTAATGAAGTACTAAGTTCAATAGTCAATAACATAGGCTTACAGTTCGAGCAACACAAATAATCAATACTCTAGGAGCTGTAGAAATTTTAGGAGTACTCAGCATTCTAATGCCAATAAAAAGAACACTGTAAAGTGTACTGTAAAGGTGATAATGGCAGCTTGCAAAGCAGTAGTAATGCCAAGCCTACTAGTAACTAGTAAGAGCAGACAGCACCACTGGTGCCAATTAGTATAAACGGAAGCAACAAGAACTTTCAACCTCGTGATGATAATGATATAGGACGTAAGTTATGAGTAAAGTTCTTTAGAGCCCAGGTACATGGGCATCTCCCGTGAGACGGATGGCGGAGCTGGTTCGGAGGCCAGGTTAAAGGGTGATGCAGGAAGAGCTGTTGCCTGGGGTGAAGCTTTCGGCTTAGGGGCGAGCCGCTTGAAGTTTTGGGAATTGGGATTTCAGGGTTGCTAACTTTTGGGTTCGAGGATTTGAATTTCGAGCGGTGTTCCATGAGTGTGGACTTGGCCGTATCCGCGCATGTTCTCTGAGTGTGGCTCCCGGCTGATACTGTAGAGCTCCGGGGTTCCAAAAAAACTTTCCCATGGATTTCCGTGCCCACAATCGCTCACAAGGCAGAGTACCGGGCTGAGACGGGCCGCTTCCGCATTGCTGCGCAGTGTTCCGGCCTGCTCATGCGCCCGCGGAAGGCGCGGCGCGCCGTTCATCCCTGCCGGCTTGGGGGCTCGTTGGGGGTCAGCAGAGGATTCAAAAAAAGACCATCTTTGAAGGTTCCAGTGCTTCCGTTGTTGCATGGCAACGCACTCAAAGGGCTCGGAGGTGCAGGTTGTGAGTTCGGACACGAGTCAGGGCATGCGTGTCTGTTGATGGGGACGCAAAAGGCATTTCTCAGGGACAAGGTGTCCGGGATTTTCCAGTGTTTCAGTAAGTTTGTCAACCCCCTCAATATGGGCTTCGTCCTCGCATGGTTTCAATTACCGTGTACACCGTCCGGAAGCCGTGGCTCCATAGAAAAGGGCAGCGGCCTTGAACTGAACGCCGTGGCACTGGCAGTCTTGGGTTCGAAGCACAAGAAGTCAGGAGGCCTTTGTGTCCTCGGAGCAAAGATGCACAAGGCTGAAGACATGAAACAGAAGCTGCAGACAGCTGCTGTTTGCCGTTCTGGTTGGGGAAGCGATCTTGGGCTACTCTCTCTCTCTCTCTCTCTCTCTCTGTCTGTGTCTGTCTGTTCTCTCTTTTCGGGTCGGTCCCAGCGCCGGCTTCCGCCGAACAGCTGCAGGGAAAAAAAGACAAACGGTGTGTCAGCTCAGTTCCAGGCTGGTAACAACGAGGAGGAGGACTGCCGCTTCGTGCCACAGAGCAGCGACATCGTCCCACCGTTGCCCAAGGTCATCCTCAGTATGCTGGTAGAGACCTGCCACACACCCTTGGCGCAGAAGTGGGGTTACCCTGAGCGTGTTCTCAACCTCATTGCGAGCATCTCTGCCGATGCTTTGGACCAGCTGACGCATTTGCCCGCCGGCTGCAGCTATGGAAACTAGCAGCAGGTAGAAGCCAGGAGGGAGCTACGGAATAAGGATGGTGCTGAAAAAGCTGATCCCTATTACAGCGTGGCTCCGTCGCCTAGGTCGGGCCTGATCGCAAGGCCCGTCTCGCTGGCCTACTACCAGCACTGCCGCGTCATTGTGGTCATCTTCAGCTTCATGCTTCCTTTGGTTACCGAGGTGGGTGAGGACCGCAGAGCCAGCTGGAAGTGCACTGAGCTTGCGCTTCCCCGAACTTGGAGTCAGATAAGGAAAGAGTTATGCTTTCGGGCTCGGGGAGACTTGGGAAGGACTTGATCGGCAGCATCTTTGATAACATCGTCTTCCCCTTCGTGATCTACTGGGCTGCTGGACTGAGAATGTTCCAGCTAGTAGTACTACTGCTACTGCTTCCTGCTGCTGCTGCTGCTGCTGCTGCTGCTGCTGCTACTCCTGCTACTACTGCTACTACTGCTACTGCTACTGCTGCTGCTACTGCGACTACGACTACGACTACGACTACTTCTACTTCTACTTCTACTTCTACTTCTACTTCTACTTCTACTTCTACTTCTACTTC